CCCTTCTGACCTGTATCCTACCCTTTCTTCCTCTCTAGTGGTACCACTAGTATTTTTCTGTTTGAACTTTATGTGAATGCAATCATTTAGTATGAATTCTGTCTTGTGTGGCTTTATTTTGCCCAACATCATGCTTATGAAGTTCTTCTCCATTCTCTTGTGTGGCTGTAGTTCTTTTTGTCTCATTGCTATATAATAGCCCATTATATGCAGATAGTACAAATTAGTGGTTCATTCTCAATTGATGGACCTCTGAATTATCTTCTCTCTGGATACCTCTATCTATTTTTGAACCTGTCTTTTGGTGCATTTCTCTTGGCTCATATACCTGGAGTGGAAGTATTGGTTATAGCGTTAGCATCTGTTCAGCTTTGGTAGATGTTGCCCTACGTTCTCCAAAACGATTATTCTATCGATTTATGCTCGTGCTCCCAGTGCGAGAGGTCTACTTGCTTTACCTCGTTGCACACACTTGATATTATCCCTTTCTAATTTCAGACATTTGGTAGGTATGAGTGTTTCTCACAGTGGTTTAATTTGCATTTACCTAATATCTAATGAGATTGAGTACCTTTTTATTGGCTTTTTTGATATCCTCTTTCCTAAAGTGTCTGTTCATGTCTTTTTTTTTAATTTTTATTTTTTTAGCAATTAGGCTGTCTTTGTACATGCTAGATAGCAGCTCTAGTTTTTCTATTCTTCACAATAGCCCTGTGAGTTATTACAGTGACATTTTATGCAGGCAGATGCTGAGGTCAGCAAGGTGAAGTAACTTGCTCAAGGACATGTGGAGTGTTAGAATATAAGAAAAATCCTTTCTCTCCAGTGGCTTATAATCTATTTAGTTGGGGAAATAACACTTAGAGAACAATTAGTGAGTAATACTAGGTAGTGAGTATTAACATATTAATCTGGGTGGTGCAGGCTGTGAATGATGCAGTAGTTAAAGGATCAGTGTGAGCTTCCTGGCAGAGGTAGGATTCAGTCTAGGACTTTAAGGACAGGTATAATGGAGGGAGTTGAAAGGAAATGGAAATGCATTTCAGGAACGTGATCCGCAAGTGCAGAGGCATGGAGATGGAAGCAATAATATAACAACACCCTGCCTTTGAATACTTCCTTGTGGTATTTTGTAGTCATCTTATTCAGGACTGTATCCTTCAGGAGGGCAGGAACCATGCCTGTTCCATTGCCCAGGGCATGTCCAGTGCCCACCATAGTGCCTGGCATGTATGAGTGCTTAATAAATATGTTTAAATAAAATGATTTAAGGAATTCAGTCCCAACAATGTTTCTGTCATCTTAGTAGAGTAGGATTTAAATGATCAAGGTAAGGGTTAAAAGACCATTAGATGACCAACCTGATGGCCTCAGCAAGATTTCTGCAGAAACTAGTGGTAAGTTGTAATTAGAGGTATAGATTATAGAGAGTTTGATCAGTTTAGACTTGATGTGGTTACGTAGGAGAGTGTAAGGTGTCACTGAGAGGTCTTGAACAGAGAGATGAGAAGATGAGAGCAATATTTTGCAAAATTCATGAGTGATTAAATGAGGAATGGACTGGAAACAGGGGGACCAGCTGAGAGGCTGTTGCAATGATATCGATATTCATTTATTTATTCAATAAGCATTTCTTGAAATCATAGTATACATCTGATGTTAAGCTCTATGCTAATGAAGGATAGCGAGATGTATAAGTTGTGAATCTTGCCATCAAGGAACCTATGGTCTGAGAGGAGGGCTAAGATAAGCACAGAAATAAATATAATTCAAGAGAGAAAGTTTAAAAAAGACTTTGTAAAGACTTTGGAGTTTGTCCATTTTACCGTAGACATCAGAACAGGTGAAGTAGTGTTAAGGAGTGTTCTGCAGCAGCACTCCTGCCTGCCTCTGCCTTCCTGCTCCCTTGCCTCTCTCTATCACACTCCTTGTTTTATTACCAGGAATTATCTTGTTTATTTATTGTTGCACTTGTTGTCGTTTGTCCCTATCCTCCATCATCAGAATACAAGCTCCAAGAGGAAGAATACTTATTTGTTTTGTTACTGCTGTGTCCCTAATGCCTCATGCAGTATTTGGAACTACTATGGACTTTTCAATAAAAATTTTGGAATGAATTAATGAAGTGGCATGGGAGTTGGATCCCATAGGGAGGTAAGATTTGGACATTCAGTAAAAGGGGAGGGAGAGACAGTATTTTTGGTGGAGGGTACATGAAGTCCTATAGGAAGTAGAGAACGAAAGATGGATCTGGAAAATGGGTTTAAGGAAGACTCTATTGAGATACTATGGTGGATTAGGTATGGAGAATAAAAGAGACAAGGCAAATATAACTGCAAAGTATGTGCCTTCGAAGCCTGATAGAATGGGGAGGAAAGAATGATAGCAGAAGGGAAACTGAGAAGACAAGCCAGTTTATCAGGGAGTGGTTGGCCATCTCAGGGGTGATATGTTATGAGCATTTGCATGCACTGGATTGAAGTGCATGGTCAAGTCTGAACAAGGTGAATTGAGGCTCATCAGTGTAGAAGAGATAGTGGTGACTTGGGCCAAGGATGGGTTCTCAGAGGGAGAAAGTCTAGAAAAAGAAGAGCCCTTGGAAAGAGCCCACATCTTGGGAACTGGTAACAAGAATCCATGAGAGAGTTGGGAAGGACCAGTAAAGTGAGCATTTCAGGATAGGCAGTCATCAGTGTCAACTGTCACAAAGAGTTCTAAAGACATGGAAGTTAGAGTCTTCAGGCTTGTCAGATGGAGGGCAATGTCACCTTCAAAGGAAGAATTTTTGTAGGATGGTGGCAAAAATAATTGAATGGAAGACAGAAAGAAGGAGAGAAAAATTGAACGGTTGCTAGGATGTGAAGAAAACATTTAAAAACCATTGTTATAATTTTTTAATTTTTTCAATTAAGAAAATAAATAAAATATGCTCAGTACAGAGAAAGTTGAAAATATAGAAATCTAGAAAGAAGAAAAAAAAGTCACATAATTCTATCATCAAGAGATCAACATTGTAGATTCTTAGATGTAGTTCCTCTCTATAAATACATATATTTAATTTTTTTGAACATAGTTGATATCATGCTGTAAATACAGAATGATGTCATGCTTTTCCACATAAGAAGTTCTCCATATGATTGTAGATGCTTCATAAATACATATTTTAGAAACTATATAGTAACCACCAAGGAGACACTTGATAATTTTCATAACTTACTCCCCTATTATTAGAAATCTGATTTTCTCTACTTTTTATTATTATAAATAATGGTGCTGTGAACATCTTTGTGAAGAAATTCTTTTTCTATTTTAGATTATTTCTTGAGGATAGAGTTAAAGGTCATTAATTAGTTACTAAAAATAGCATTTATTGTTTTCTGATTACAAATATATCACATTTTCATTATAGAAAATTTGGAAAATATCAAAACAAACAGTAAATGTCACTTACAGTTGCCCTATCTAGAGATAACTACTGTTGAGATTTTGGTCTCAGACTCTGTCTATTTATCCATTTATTAATCTTTAAATGGGATCATACCATTTTATAATCATTCAAAGCTTAGTATCTTATGAAGCCTTCCTCATTTAATTAAATAGACTCCTACCTCATAATTTCCAATGTTTTTTGGCATTCCAAAGTATCTAGTAACCATGATTTAGTTAATTCTTCCCATAACGATAGACATTTAGGTTATTTCTGGTTTTTGCTGTCTTTAATATGCTATTACTAACATCTTTGTAGAAGAATCTTTACACACATCTCTGATTATTTCCTTATAATGCTATCTGAGAATTATTTTTTTTGCTGAGGAAGATTAGCCCTGAGCTAACATCTGTGCCAGTCTTCCTCTATTTTTTATATGTGGATCATCGCCACATTATGGCTAACAAGTGGTGTTGGTCCACACCCATGATCTGAACCTGTGAACCTGGGCCACAGAAGTGGAATGCACTGAAATTAACCACTAGGCCATGGGGCTGGCCCTCTGAGAAATATTTTAAATGTTTTTATGCATATTATTGAATTGACTTCCAGGAAGTTTGCCCTCATTTAATATGTCTATCAGCTGTATTTTAGGGTTCCTGTCCCCCTTCCTCCAATCTCACTGTATGGTTATTAACAACAGAGAAATAACCTTTACTAATTTGATAAGTGAAAAAATTATTTGTAATTTGCATTTTTTTGAAGTCTAGTGAGGATTTCATGTATTTATTAGCCATCTGTATAGCTTCTTTTGTGAATTTGTTATTCATGATCTTTGCCATTTTTATGATCCCTGATATGTATTGCCAAGTTGCTTGCCAAAAGGGACTGCTAGTTTATGCTCTAGTATATATTTTTCTTTTTTGTGAATTGTCTCATGTTTCTTGCTCATTTAAGAGAATATTTTTTAGGTAGGGATATGCATTTATCTTTGAAAGTAGAATGAAAAGGGCTGAAAATATTGGAGGGGGAGGAAATATAGGAGAATTTTAGATTCTGGAAGAGGTGTGAGTTGAAGTGGAAGAAAATTGAACCTCGAAGGCAGAATGCAATGAAATATGTGATATTTTGGCTTCAGGAAATGTTATGCGATAACTATTTCATTCCTTTCCTGGGTCATTACTAAGCTCTGCGAGCAACATTCTTTAATTATGGTCTTTTGAAAAAACACAAATCACTAAGATTGTTTTTGTTTCTTTTTTTTTTGAGGAAGATTAGCCCTGAGCTAACATCTGCTGCCAGTCCTCCTCTTTTTGCTGAGGAAGGCTGTCCCTGAGCTAGCATCCGTGCCCATCTTCCTCTAATTTATACGTGGGATGCCTACCACAGCATGGCTTGACAAGCGGTGCCATGTCTGCACCTGGGATCCGAACCTGCAAACCCTGGGCCGCTGAAGCAGGACGTGCGCATTTAACCGCTGTGCCACCAGGCCGGCCCCTGTTTTTGTTTCTGATTGATGTCTCCAAGGCTAGATGGAGAATGAAGAAAAAAACGAACCAGCAAAAGAGAGATATTGATCATCAGGTTATTTAATTATCAATTTTAATACAACGTCCTCAGCAAACCATATAGGTAAACATTTCGTCGACTTGGTGGATGGGTGGTTAGAAGAGCTTATTATGGAATCAGACATACTTTAGATTTGTGTTCTTACTCGCCTTCATAATTATTCTGATTGCTTATTTGAGCCAGAAACTATGAAAGGGCTGTGTGAGGAGTGGGATTTAATAAAAGTTTGTTGAATGAATAAATGTATGAATGAATCCTTGGCATAGATTTAGTTGCACCTGGGAATGGGCAGAGTCATGAATTCCTAGAAAGTTTTGCTAGAAATTCATAATTATTTTAAGTTATGGTAATATCTGAAGTTATTTTAAGGGATAAAATTTTAGAGTAAACTTGAAATCTGTGTAGGGAATGTCATGAAGCATAATAATCTCCATCTATCAATCAATGATATTTTATGATTATAAGGGAATATTGTGCGGTCTTGTACTTCCTATTGCCACACTTTAAAAAGCCAATGAATCACTTGAAGAAATTAGCATCTGCTAAAGATATGGAAGGGATTTTTCTGTTTTCAGTGACAGATCAATTGTGATAAATGGTCTCATGAGAAAGTCCATTTCAGCACTTGGAAGTAGAATCATATGACAGAACTTTTACTGGTTGTATTTGTTTGGTGTGATATTTCTTTGGTGGTAGCTCCTACTGATGAATACTTTATTATTTGCTCTTATAGAAATGTAGGAAAGGAATTTAGAGGACTATTAGTCTGTCTCTGAATGTGTGCGTGTGTGTTGAGGGTGATTGGGAGGGAAGAAGTCTGTGGCATGTCGAGATGTATGAAGTTGTTGGAGCTTCTGGGATAATGATCATGCTTCATTGCTGTGTGGTGCTCTCACCCCTGTGTGATCCTGGTTCCTCTCTCTGAGGCGGCCCTGCTTATCTTCCACGGCCTGGGGAGCTGACGTTTGCTGTACATCAGTGGGATCCTCATCAGGCAGAAATTCCCTGCCGTGCTGCTGTGATGCTTGGCTGTCACTGGTGAGGGATGCACTCGACTGGTCATGGCAGAGTTCAATGCCCTGGCTCAATGCCCTGGCTGTCTGAGTTTGATTTTGATGCTCCTCTTGGGTTATGTCTGTTTGCTGCGTTATCTTCTCCTGCAGGTACTCATACAGTGGACTGGAATAGACTGCACCCCTCTCCACAGAACAGGGCTCTTGGTCCCTCTGTGTCCTCTCTTCAAGGCCTGACTGGGGGACTGAAGAATCATGTCCTTTCTTGGCTGGATTTGGTTGGTCATTACCTTCACCTGCCAGCTCTTGGGGGCTTTCATCGTCTTCCTCCAATGTTGCAGTTTCCTCAAGGTGTGTCTTGGGGGAGGCTGAATTGTCCTCATCTGGACTTTTTACTGGAGCCTCATGAGTCCCTGGTACTCCACCTTCCTCTTCTTTGGTACTTGGGCCCTGGAACTTTTGCTCTTTTCTACTGTCTTCCTTTGTAGGGAGCTGTGTTATGGAAAGCTGGTCAGTGAAGTCTGCATCCAGGGCACCTGGGATCTGTGTCTCCAGGGACTTCCTGTTTTCATGTCCTGCTGTGGACTCCTGTGCCTCTGGGTGTCCACTGGGCTCCACAGCGGGGCCTGGGCTTTTGGTCCCTGAGCCCTGACTCTTGTGCTCTTCTCTGGCAGGCTGTTCCCCTTCCTTGGTGAGCTGGTCATCCTCTCCTCTCACTGCCAGCACCACTGCCTCCTGAGCTCTGTTTTTCTCACCTGGTGCTACCCGTTTCTGGTTATCTGGGTTATCACTGTGACTTTCTTGCATGGACTCTCTGAGTGGGTCTACTTGACTCTGCGAATTCCCTTGCACAGGTAGGTCACTTGTCTCTGAGCTGTTGTCACCATCCTGTGGAGTCAGGCTGTTGGGGGTTTTGGAATACCCCTCATCATTCTGTGTGACTGTTGGTTCAGGACCCTCCCTATGGTAACCATCATCCTCTTCAATGAGCTTGTCATGAGTCTTGGTGACCCCCTTATTTTCTTCTCCAGACTGGTTCTCAAGTGATGCCAACTCCTGTGTTCTTTCTCTCACTCCTGGTGTCCCTTCTGCTGCAGGGGCATTTTTGCTGCTCACAAGTGATTCTGTTGTGCCTTCCTCAGCGTGTCTTGCCTCTTCTCCTGGGGTGATTGCTCCTTCAATTTCAGGATGATTCTGATCTACTCCTTCTGAGCTTAACTCTCGTGTCTTAGAAACTTCTTCAGCATCCCTTGCTTTCGATGATGCCTGGAGTTCCTGATACTTCCCATCCTGTTTTTGGTCTTCCAGGACTGGTAACTGAGATTTTCTCTCACTTTCTTTCTGCCCTGCTGACCCATGGGCCTCAGAACCTCTCCCCTCTTTCCATTCGGCTCTAACATTGGGTGTTTCTGAAACATTTCTGCTATCACCCTGGACTGGCAGGTCCTTTTTTTCATATTCTTTTTCCTGTGATGGTGGTTCCTGGGTCTCAGGTGTTCTACCATCATCCTCAGGTTCAAGTGCATTCTTTGTCTCAGGTGGTGTCCTGTCAGCATCCTTTCCTGGTTCTTGAGTCTCAGCTGTTCTACTATCATCCTCAGGATCAGTTGATTTCTGTGTCTGAAATGGTTCCCAGGCAGCAGCTTGTTCTGGCAGGTCAGCATGCTCTGAACTGGGCTCATCTTTACCTTCTAGTGGAAGTTCTTGTGCTTTAGAGTGTTCCTTAACACCCTTTTCTGCTGCAGCTTCCTGATCTTCAGATGGCCTCTGTGTTGTCTCTTTTGGTGGAGAACTTTGGGTCCCCAACTTCCCTTTATGTTCTCCAAATTGCTCTCTTGTCTTAGTGCCACTTTGCTCCCTGGCTGGTTTATCTCCCTCCCTTGGAATCTCCTTATCCTGTCCCTCCCCCTTTGTGGGACTGCTGATCAGTTCTGATCCTACCATTGGCTTATTTGTCTCAAGTTGGGCCCCACTGTCTCCTGTTGCTGGTACATCTTGGGCCACTTTCTGGCTCTGTTCAGCTCCTTCCAGATGTTGGTTCTCAGGATCACTGTGCCCAAATTCTTCTATAGGCAGTTTGTGAGTCTGAGTGTCTCCCTGTGGGTCTATCCTGTTATGTCCAACTGCTCCCCTTTCATTAAGGCTGAGTTGAGCTGACGATGCTATTCCTGAAGGAAACAGCACTTTGTCTTGAGTTGGTGGAGTTTCCTCTGTCCACTGGCCAGTTTCATTGGTTGCCTGAAGATCCATACTATCTGGCTTTTCCTCTGGTTTAGACACTTGTCTTGGTTCTGAATTTAGTAATGATTGTATATCAAGATAACAGTAGTTCAACAAGTTGAAGATTGCAAGAACAAATTCATCAAAACTGATGGTGCCATCACTGTCAATATCCAGAAGATTCAAATTTCTCTGCACAGCATGAATGGCACGTGGCTGCATGAAAACACAGTGAGAAATCAGCCTATTTATATGTGGTCAGGTGCCCTCAGTGTCTGTATGTCTCCCTAGAATCCTCTTTTTTTAACCCTGTTCCTTAGGGACTGGTGAAATTTCCCCAAACAATAAAAAAATTGATTGATTCTGGATGCCATTTTGCATCATGGCTAAGAAGGAGCATTTAGATGTGAGTTGCATTTAGATGCATATTGGCTCGTGACTCCTCTCAGAAGCCTACTTTGCTGAAGCAATAGTTGCAGTGAGGAAAACTTCATTTTTCCCTATAGGATTTGCTAAGCAATTGCACAAAGTAGCGAGCTAAGACTGAGAAAAGTTGTTGAAAAGTTAGTGAGTGTTAAGAGCTGGTAGCCAAGTGGAAAATGAGCAGAAATTCACTTAATGCCCATCTTCCTTGGATTAAGGAGAAAGAGCAAGTGGAGAAGATTTCCACAGCTCTGTGGGCACCTCACCTGAAGAATGTCCCCAAACTCGCCCTGGATGAGCCGTCTTAGCTCTCTGCAGGTCAGTGTTGCCTCGTCACCATCCTCCCTTGCGTACTTGTGGAATGTCTCAGTTACGCAGAGGACATCTCTCAGGAGTCGAGGCATCTTTAGGAACTCAGGAGACTGTAAGAAAGAACAAACAAAGCTCGTTTCCTGGGACGGGTGCTTCAGGAAGGAGAAACCAAGATCGTCCTTCTTTGTCCCTCCTCCAGTTCCACTGGCGTCATCTGCCGTATTCTGCATCTTAAAATATTGTATCTGAACTTTAGGGGTGATTTAGTTTTGTACCAGATAATGTGGTGAGACCAGATCTAGCACAGGTAGGTATTAGAAGAGACACGTCACTCACCCCACCCTACAGAAAACGCGACACTCGTGTGTTCAGAGAAAGCATTATTGCAAAAGAGGGTGGGCAAAGAACTCAACGTTAAGTATTGAAATGTACAAATGATGTCAACAGAGTGCGAGCAATCCTTCCAACCTCATCTGAGAGTGTCCACCTGTTTTCTTCCTACCTTGGCTCAGTCTAGCTCCTCTGCTTAAGAAAGTGTAACTTTTAAAGTTAGTAAAGCTTCTAGAGGAAAGAGAAGTAATGGCAAGAAATCAACTCCTATGTGTGCAGGCTGAAGCAACACGTTTTTGCCAAGAAGACATGGCTCAGTGAACTCACTGGTAAAACAAAGAGTCCTGACCCTTCATTCATTACCCATCGTTTAAATGACCCTATTATTTTCCATTTTAATACAGGCCCATGTCTTGTTAAGTAGTATTCGTGCCTATGTCATACAAACAGTTTATATTTTTTGCAAAAGAAAATGATCAAAGAAGTTCCATAAGTAAGAAATGCATTTGGGTGGCTGGAGCTCCCAGTTTAGTATCATTAATAGTGGTCGACTTAGAGTGTGTTTCCTCTGAAATCCTTACATGGTCTCACATATAAGCAGAGCAGCGGCTGAGATCCTAAGTATGCTCACGCAGATAGTCTATGAGACTTACCTTGTTCCCGAGTGAGAGCAAGTGGACTGTGCAGCAGCGGGCCGTGAGCTGACAGCAGGCGCTGAAACCTTTTATCTACTCCCTAATTGCACAGTTAGGAAGGAGACACCCTCCGGGTCCAACGCCTGATTCATCACCACCAAACCCAGGCTCCCCTCCTTCTCTGCTGTCTGCTTGCCTTATTTCTAGTTCCTTCTTTGGGCAGCTTAGGTTAAGTCTTGGCTTCAAACTCATCCAAAGGAAGGGGAAGGAGTATCTGGTTTCATTTACTGACTTTTGCAGGTTATAGTTTTGAGGGATCTTTGGGGTGGTGTTGGCTTTTTTTATTTTTTTAACCTAAGGACACAATTACATTTCTGTTTGAGAAATCATAGAGCTGGCAGGGACTTCAGAAGTCATCTGATTCCTCTCTCTGCCCACAGGATGGACTGTATTTGACCCAGCTCGGACAGATGGGTGTCAATCATGTGTTTAAAAATAGAGGCCCCATTTAGCCATGTGAGAAAACTGGAGATGCCAGTTGATTCAGTGTTTCAATGCTCTGCTCCCCGTGCCCAAAGGCAGAGTTAGGAAAAAAAACCTCTTGCTGCGTGTGCAGAACTTTACTTACCTAAGATGTGCTATTTTTAAAATGCGATTGATATCTGCTCTTTAAAGGCACTTTTATAATCCAAGGAGCTTAGAAATTAGCATCTATATTACTGTGTTCTTTCTGTAAAGGGGAAAAGGAGACAGAGAAACCATCAAGCTGAAGACGGGTAGGAGTGAGTCTGAGATGCTAAACTAGCAAATGTTTTTTCACCTCCTAGATCTGGGTCCATTTTACTACAGAATATTTAATTAACAGGAGATTTGGATTCAGTTGTTTTTTTAGACATTTAGAAAGAGAATAGAATATGTTTTAAAACTTTCTTGCCTGCATTCAAAAGGATATAAGAAATAGATCCATGAAAACAAGTGTAAAAGACAAAGACCAAGACAATGGAGGAGTGGGAATTATGTGAGAAGACTGAGGCTAAGGAAAGCATTGATACTGAGCAAAACGGTGCTCTGATCTTCCTGATAATCAAGACAAGTACAAGGGAACTGAATCTTGGGGGCCAAATCCATGTTGATAGTCTCCACTTATAAAAAAATGTCTCAGCATTTCCCTAAAAGGGAGAAGACTTCTACCGAGAATTGGAATTGGCATGCGAAGGTCATCGTAATTCTGATCAGTCAACATCCCCTGAGTACCAACTATTTCTCAGACACTGTGCCAGGCATGGGGGTGTTTAAAGTTGAGTAAGTTGTATCTCCCTGCCCTGGAGCTCATGAGCCAGTCTCATGAGAAATGACTGAAGGAAACCACATTCAAGGCTGGATTGAAAAGAAAGACGTAGGGAAGGCATAATAGCTGTTTTCAAATATTTAAAGGCTTTTCATGGGGATGAGGAATGGGGTGGGAAGAGAAAGGAACTAATGTTCATTAAACACTTGTGACATGTCAGGAGCTTTACATGGGCTGTCTTACTTACTTCTCACAGGCCTTTCAGGTAGTTATTATCCTCTTTTAACAGATAAGGAAGTTAAGGCTCTTAGCTGTTAAGTAACTTGCCTAGGTCACGTACTTAGTAAATGGTAAAGCCAGGATTCAGAATTGAAATGCTTCTAGAATCTATGTCTCTGAGCCCATGGTGTCTCCATTATCTTGAGTTCCTTATTCTGTATAATGCCAGAGAATAGAACTAGAATCAATGGTTGAAACTCTCTGAAAAGCAGGCTTTAGTTCTTATTAAGAAGTTTTAAGGAGTAGAGTTGACTGACAATGGTATAGGCTGCTCCCAAAGTAATGGGATCCCTGTCACTAGAGCTGTTCAAATAGAGGCTGAACGATAATCCATTGACTAGGTTATAGGAGGAGCCCTGCCAAAGGAAGCAGTAAGCCTGGAGCGGCTTACAGTAGAGGGCACAGGGCTCTTCCAACTCAAAATGTCCATGGTTTTAGCTTATAGTTTCTATTTAGAAAGCCAAGGGTGGGTTTTGCCTTGTCTCTGAACAATGTAAGGGCTGGTTCCCTAGGCCTTTTACAGGCATTTCTATTTTTTCAGTGCTTACTCAAGACCATTTAATTAATACCCATACTTATGGGTGGGTAGTGACTCAAAGGGATGGCAGCAGGAGGAGGGAGATGCTGAGTGGAAGGAGAAGGATAAGGATGAATTTCTTTTAAGAAAATTACTTAGACTGCTGTACAATAAGCCACAAACAACTCTATCATCACCAAAGAAAAAACCCTGATTGCCGTTTCTTCTTTCTCCGAAAAGATCCCTCTAACAGTCCCTCTGTGATGTCCTCTCCACCTCTCCACTCTAATTTTGTATAGGGATAGTGAAGAAAGGAAGAGAGAGCGAGCAAGAGAGGGAGAGAGGGAGAGAGCGTGCAGTGAAAAGAAGTTGATTAATACAGAACTATGTTTAAGGGCCTTTTATTCTTCAAAGGCCACAACTGAAGTTTTGGATGAAGGCTTCAAATAAAACACATATGGTGGCTACTTTGGAAAAGATGGCTAATAAAGTAATTTTTAATGATTCTCTATAATACTGGAAAATTTGGCATGTAAAAAAGAAGCCTTCAGCTTATGTTTATAATTTTATTATCTTTTTTGCTTATCATAGAAGTAGTAGGAGTTTATTTAAGATGATGCTGGACTGAGCAAATATTATTAATCTTCCTCCTGGAATCCTCTAAAATAAAAATATAGATATATAAAAATTAAAAAACTAGAACTATGAACAGAACTGGAAGAGAATCACAGTTGAGTTTCAATAAATTTATGGAAGAGAAAAAGTAGTTGGTAGAATGTTCATGATAGAAACAAGCGGAGAGAGGCACAGCCTGGAATGTGTTATGAGGCAGTGGTGGAGGTGAAGGCAGATCTGGCCATCAGAACCTGGAGAACCTCTAGACTCAGAATTAGCAGCTATGATGGAGGTGGGAGTGAGAAGTGGGGCTTTAAACAGAGAAAGCAATTGAAAGTTTGTGTAAGGAACTTATGTCTCAGTGGTCATTCCCATCTCCCTTCTCTGCTTTAGAGCACGGAGCATAGACATCTGGGCACATGTTGCCTAACCTTGGCAAAACCCCAAATGGCTCTTTCCTAAAGAATTGAACAAACTTCCTGGAAAAGCTAAATGTAATCTCCTTGAGGGCAGTAATCTGTATCTTATTTTCTACTTTATCCTCAGAAGCTGTAAGAGTATCTGGACTATGGTAGGTGCTCTGTCATATTTGTTGACTAATAGACGGAAAGATAAGGCATCTAGTATAGATATTAATGCTCCAGGAAAACCCTCTCCATATGGCATTGGGGATACACTGGGGAGGGAGGACCTGCAGCCTGACAGCCATTTCTTTGCAAATTGACAGGCTTCTCCTCCACCCTGACACAAGTTCTCATTTCGAAAGAGAGCTGGTGTGAAATAGACCTATTTAAGCAAATCAGAAGAAACTCAGATCTTTTTATTGCTATAAAGGGGCAACTAAGAATATTTAGGCATATGAATAAGTCAGCAGCACAAAAGAGAAAGAACAAGATAAACAGACATACTGACCCCAGAGGAAATAGTTATAATTCAGGATGCAGAAAGAAGTTAAAAACTCTAATTAACATATTCCAAAGAGATTAAATGAGACAAGACCAGGATGCTCTAAAAGAGCAACCAGAGAACAAAAATCAGAGAATAAAAAAGTATTTTAGATTAAAAATAACTGTTGAAATTAAAAAAAGCAGTAGCATTTAAAAAACACCGAAGTTGACAAAATCTTCTAGAATAGCATCATCCAACACAACTTTAGATATTTGAACTGTCCCATCTGATAGCCACTAGCTATATGTGGCTTGAAATGTGGCTAGTGTGACTGAGAAACTAAATTTTTAATTTTATTTCATATCTATTAATTTAAATTTAAATCAAATAGCCACATTTGTCTAGTGACTACCTTCTTGGACATTACAGTTTTAAAATATAAAGCAAAAAGAGAAAGAAATGTAAAAGGTGTGAGAAAAGATAAGAAACATACAGAATTAATTTAGGAGGTCCCATCTCTAACTAATAGGAACCTCAGAAAGATAAAACAGGGAAAAAAAAGGAGAATAATTTATCAAGGAATTAATAGATTCCCTGGAGACTTCACATTTTAAAAGGTCCACAAAATGTCCACCTAGACGTCTCTTTGGAAATTTCAGAACACCAAGAGGAGGAAAACAAAGGTCAAGTATCTTGCCTAAGGCTACAAAGCTGGTAAGTGGTAAACCCAGTTTTTGCTCTCAGGCAATCTTGCTTCTATGCCCATGTACTTAACATAACAATGTAGACATTTATTGGTTTCCAAATATTAGAGTCTGTACATGTAAAAACCATGGTATATTAGGTTGTGGTTAGAAATGTAAGAGTGATACCATCAAAAGTTGATGGAAAAAGAAAAATAAGTATATTATTTAGAGTTAGAAAGGTGACAGAAAATTAGAATAATGAAAATATTAAACATTAACAAAGGGAGAGGAGAAGAGAGGTGGAGTAAGTGATTTAAGTTGTCACCTATCATAGTGGAGATATTTAAAATTGATAAATTTTACTACCAGAAAAAAATTTAAAGAGAGTTTTTCTCTGAGGAATGGGACTGGGGTTAAAAAGATGTGAGGCAGGACACTTGGTTATTCTAAAATTTTTGTCATAAGTTTTTCCGTACCTTTTAATATGCTCTCATTTATGTTCTGAAATTACTTTAATAAATTAATTTTTAATGTTATACATTTTACTTATAGAATATATAGAGAAAAACTTAACATTTATTAACAGTCCTTACTTAGTAAACTTTTTATGTGTATAAACCTTATGTTCCCAGTTACATTTTGATTACCAAAAGGGAAAGACTGTGAAATATATATACTTTATGGCAATTAGCTTTTCTAGAAGACGTATAGTGGAAAAAAAATAACCGCTTGAGTTACAATTAGATAACCTGTTCCACCTGTTCAAAACCCACCTTTACCACTTATTATCATCCCTATATCACGAGTATTTACATTGTATACAGTTTTTCTCATTTTCTCTCAAATTGTCTTTACCAAGCTAAAATCATTCAGTTCACACCATTTTGTAATTTGCTTTGTTTTATTTGATGAGTAGCTTTCCAGTCATTAAACATTTTTCTACAAATTTTTTTGATATGGGTACAGCATTCCATTATATGAATATACTATAGTATATTTAACCATCCTCTTTTGGGTATTTTAATTGTTTGCAGTTTTTCATTATTATAAGCTATGGTGTGATGAATATCTTGTAGTAAATCTTTCTGTACACCATGGTCAAACTTTTAAGGAGTCCTAGGCCCCTCCAAATGATGCCTCAGAGCCTTTCCTAACAAGGACAGTTTTGTAAATGAAATGGTTGATGTTATAGGTAGCACATCATTTTGTATTTAAATAGAAAAATGTTTTTATGTGTTGTGCAAGCACATAATAGCACATTGAGGCCTTTGTATAATGATCATGTGCAGTGTATTTACACTTGCGTTACAGGATTTTCTTTCAGTGCAATTAGATGGCCAAGAAATAGCTGTTGAATAAATAAATGAGAAAGGCCACATGGGTCTAGGTCTGCACTTCTGTAGTTATCTGGCCTTAGACAAGTTTTGAAACCATTCTTAGTCTGATTTCCTTATTTGGAAATGGGAAAGGAGGGGGCAATATTGTCCAGAATTCTGGAATTGTAGCACTGATTAAATGAAATAACATATGTAAAAACACTTAGCAAAAACCTTTGGCTTATACTGCATTATGCTGACTTAACAACTCTGAGAAGGCTGGGACTGTGTCTGCTTTGATCACTTGTATCACCAGCCCAGCACAGTGCCTGGAACAGAGTAGGTCTCAATAAACATTTGTTAAGTGAAAAAAAATTGAGAGAAGTGTACTAAAATGAAAGAGTCCTGGACCAAAATTTAAAGAACTGGGCTGATTCCAGCCCTATCTCTAGCTCTCTAACTTTGGATCTTTTATTTCAATAGATTTAGTGCCCTGATGAAAACTGAAAGGTATGGACTTGACAATAATAATATCATTTACTGAGTGCTTACCTGATATTTTGCACACATTATTTCTACTCTTCATAACAAAAACCTAAGTTTTCATGACTCCAAAACCTGAGTTCTGTATGCTACGTCATGCTGCCTCCCTGCTAATGGCCAGAGTAATTTCCAAGCTCTAACAGCTCATAAATCCCTTCTACCCTACACTGGTCACAAATATATTTGGTGGATGAATCAGCATTTTAAACTTCTAGGAACAATGGTGGGAAAAAAATTGGTCTATTATATAAAGAACTATTATTTTATTATATGTTACTTTGGAACTTATTGTCACTTGGAACAACCCCATATCTGGAATAATAAATTCAGTTTTCGCAGTCCTTGTCCATTGCCTCCTCTCCTTACAGCTCTCCCATTTGCCGATTCACAAGTTATTGGGTTTTCTATCTCATTTGAACCCCCAGTCCACAGACCTGTGTCTCTTCATCCCTGCCTATACCCTCTTGCTTTCCTCTCCTGCTTAGATTCTGTGATGGTTTAGATTCTGTGACTATTTTATGTGTCAGCTTGGCTGGGCGACAGTGCCCTGATATGTGTCAAACGTTATTCTGGACATTCCTATGAGAGTGTTTTTAGATAAGATTAACATGTAAATGTGTGGATTTTGAGTAAAGCAGATTGTTGTCTATAATGTGGTTGGGCCTCATTCGATCAGTTGAAGGCCTTAACAGAACAAAGACTGACCTCCCCTGAGCGAGCAAGAAGAAAGTCTGCCAGCAGATGGCCTTCAGACTTGAACTGCAACTCTTCCTTGAGTCTCCAGCCTGCTGGTCCATACTGCAGATTTTGGACTTGCCAACCTCCATTATCATGTGAACCAATTCCTTAAAACAGTCCTCTCTCTCTTTCTCCATAAATACAGATATATCTATATCTCCTGTTGGTTCTGTTTAACTGGAGAACCCTGACTAATGCAGATTTCACAGGCCATCACTCTATCTCTTGTGGGTATCCTCAGTTCCCTTTCTGTCTCTCGGTCACATCTGCCTGGAAAAATCTCAGCCTTAGTTGTGTCTGTCTTCTGCACCTGTGCTACGGAGAATGGCTGAGAAAAATCTCCCAGCTGAACACGTTGGTGCCATAATAAATTCATGGTCTCTAACTTCACCTGGAAACTCAGCCCTTTTTGGTGATCATACAGATTCCATGATTAGTTTTCTCTTCTGTGCTCTACAACAGTTATTTTAAACCATCTTAACTCTCTTCAGTATTTGACTCCCTCCCCTCCTTTTTCACCCTTAGAAGATAATCTTGCCTCTTTACTTCATACAGAAAATGAAAGTCATCAGACCAGAATCCCTAAACTTTATTTTACCAAACTACAAACTTATTGGCATCTATTTACATTCATGTTTTCTTTCTGTTACATCAGAAAAGTTAACCATCTAAGCTTAATGCCTCTCTCTGGATCCTAATTTTTTCCTGCCTTCTCAGGAAACTTGCTTTGTTGATAATTCCCTCTCTTTTCTGTACTGCAGCCTCTCTTCATGGGTTCCTTCCCATCAGCATTTATGCACACTCAAGTCCCTCCCATGTTATAAAATCCTATCTCGTGCTCACAACCCCACCCAACCGTTCCCCTGCCCTTCATGGTTAGTATTCTTGAAAGATTTGTCTTCTTATTTTTCTGCTTCCTTTCCTTGCATTCCTCAACCCCGTTCCACTGAAATATAGGAGATCATCACTGACCACTGTGTTATGGAATCATCACACACTTTTCAGCACCTGTCTAGCTTGGCTTCTTTGAAATATTTGATGATAACTGCCTCCTCTTTCTCGCAGCATCTTCTTTCCTAGTTTTTGTGACACCGCATACTCCTAGTTTTCCTCCTACCTCTTTGACTGCTCCTTTTTAGTTTTTATCTTTTGCCTTTCTCTTAAATGTTGCTGTTCCTCAGAGTTCTGTCCTAGCCCAGTTCTTCATTTTCTTCTTTCTCCATGTCTTAAATAATCTTCTCTACTCTTACGGCTTTGATTACTACTGATAGGCTGATATTCCCCAGTTATATATTAAATCCAATCTCTCACCTGAGCTCTATACCCATGTAACCAATTCCAACAAACATCACTTCCCGGAAGCCTCCAAGGCACCTCCAACTCAATGTAAGTAAAACTGAACTTGTCATCTGCCCTTACTACAAACCTGAGGCTCCCTTGTGAGTCCATATAAATAATGGCACCACTATCATCCAGTTTCTCCACCTATAAACCTGATATCATATTTCATCTCCTCCTCTCTATTATCTCTTCAATATGTCACCAACTCTTATTGATTCTAATTCTAAAATATCTGTCAAATATATCTGCTTTTCCCTATCCCCACTTCCATTATCCTAGCTCAGGCTATCATTGTCTCTCACAGGGATTCCTGCAATATCCTCCTAATGTTCTCTCTGCTGCCATCTTGACCTTCTCCAATCCGTTCTCTACATTGCAGCCAGAGTGATCCTTATAAATTGTCAATCTGGTTAATCACTCCACTGCTTAAAATGACAATGATTCTTTGTTGCCCTCAAGATAAACCTACTATGGCTTACCAGGCCCTCATAACTTCTCAAGCCTCGTCTCTTGCCATTTATCTCCTGGTATTCTAAGCTCTAGTCGGATTTGATTTTGACTGTCTTGAGCTCATGGTGTCCTCTCTTGCCTCCAGTCTTTATTTATTTTTTTTTTTTAAGGATTGACACCTGGGCTAACAACTGTTGCCAATCTTTTTTTTTTTCCTGCTTTATCTCCCCAAACCCGCCCTGTACACAGTTGTATATCTTAGTTGCAGGTCCTTCTAGCTGTGGGATCTGGGATGCCGCCTCAACGTGGCCTGACGAGTGGTGCCATGTCCATGCCCAGGATCCGAACCCTGGGCTGCCGCACCGGAGTGCGCGAACTTAACCACTCGGCCACGGAGCCGGCTCCTGCCTCCAGTCTTTAAATATGAATTTCACTCTGCCTGGAAAGCTCTTTCTTTTCCTCTTCACCAACCTAACTTCCTACCTATTCTCAGATTTCAGCTTAAATGTCAGTTCCCTTGGGAAAGCTTTTCTTGACACTGCTAAGTGGAGTTGGATGTTGCTGTTCTCATAAACTGTGTTCTTCTCTGACCATAGCACTTATGGCAGGATGGTATGAAACTCATCTTCCCCTCTGACTTCTACCCATCCTCTCCTCACCCCTGGTCAGAGATGAAACCTGGAGATTAACTGGGTCATGATCCACATATGAGGACATTTTGCAAGGTGCTCCAGGGAAAAAGGGAGGCACACGCACTCTTAGCATAATAAGGCCAGGATTATTCTTTCATAAGAAATAGAGTCAAAGTAATGCTAATAAGAGAAATAAAATTGACTCATATATACAAGACAAGGAGGCTTTCAAAAAGAAAATGACCCTCATGGTGATAAGTTATATTTGAATTCAAATGCTTATGAGAAAAGCAGCCACTGCCTGGAATGGAAATCTTGCTGTTGCTTCTCACTACAGTCACCCCCCAACAATGCATGAGACCAGAATCCACCTTTCCCTTGAACTACCCCTGCATTCTCATCCGACTAAAGGGCACCGACAGATACTAATATCAGAGCTTGTTCCAGTTCCCAGGCAGAACCAGAACAAACTGAGCGAGAAGAATCATGAACATTCAGAAACGCCCACTGTTAAGGAATTTTCAGTATATAAGAAAGGACTTAGGGCTTCAATATTCAGAAGCGAGGGATGGCAGTAGAGCCCTTGGACAAAAAGAGCTATAAGGGTTATAGTAATTAATTCATTTGACAAATATTTATTGAATGCTTACATTATGCATCTAATTCTCACAACTCCTTGAGCCAGGTTTTTTAGCATAAAATTAAGAAGACTTCAGAGGGACTAGGAACTTTTGAAATCCTAGGCAAAATTTTTGAGTATGTAGATTTTTCTAGTGCGACAGTCTACATATTTTATCAGAATTTCATAGAGCTCTCTCACTTATTGTTTATCATGGAAAGAATATATAAAATCAAGAATTCCAAGTTATAGTCTCTTTTTTTTTAAGGTATGCTTTTTGGTGAGGAAGATTGGCCCTGAGCTAACATGTATTGCCAATCTTCCTCTTTTTTTTCCTCCCCAAAGCCCCAGTACATAGTTGTACATCCTAGTTGTAAGTCCTTCCAGTTCTTCTATGTGGGACTCCACCTCAGCATGGCTTGATGAGGGCTGTGTATGTTGGCGAACACTGGGCCGCTGAGCACAAGAACTTAATCACTATACCACCAGCTGGCCCTATAGTCTCTGTTTTCAAGGTATTCACAATCTTGTTGGGCAGATAAAGCAAGTATAAAGCTAATTAAGGCAGAATATTGTAATCGATTAAGAATAGTAAAGATAATAGATATCTTAGAACCTTAGTGAAGAGAGAGATCATTTTGTCAGGGTGATTAGGAAAAATTTTAGGGAAGAGGTGGGACTCAACCTGGCTCTTTTAAACTGAGCAGAAATTGTCCAGGTAGACAGGAAGAAGAGAGTCATTCCAAATAGATAAAATTAGGCCAATAAGTCTTTGAAGTAAGGACAATCGTAAGATGTCCTAATGACAACAAATAGACTAGTCTGGTTTGAACATAGTTGGCTTCAGCAGTGTCCTGGGGGCCAGAGATTAAAAGGCAGATTGTCTCTAGAACGTGGAGGGCCTTACATTCCAAATTGAAGACCTTAGACTTTATCTTGCAGAAAATGCCATGCATTACACAAGGAGGATAATGACAAATATTAAAAAGTTTTTGTAATTTGAGTGCTTGCCATGGATGTCCCGAGGGTTCAGAAAATTACAACCTATTCAGAAGTCTACCTTTTGGGTTAGTTTCAGATTATTGTATGTGATTGCAATAAGCTCTTTACTAACAAGGGGATCATGGGATTATTACATATTACATAGATTATAATCTTCAGCAGGTCACAGTCCCGGTACGCTTACTGAACAAACTCATAATTACTATGACTGAATGAAAATCTTAGCAATGTGTAATTAGTGCAGAAGATGAAGCAGAGATGGGTTCATACTTAACTAATGGACACTGACTTCTAATTTGAGTGAAACCAAGTTCCAGGACTTCATTTTCTCCTCCAAAAAGAATGAGAGTAATTAAATGCATATGTGCAGTTCATAAAGGCAATGAAAGTGGGGTAGGTTTGGGTCTTCTCCCTCAATGAATAAACCTGGGATGATAGGAAGGTGCTCTGGAGAGGAATTTGGGAGACAAATAGGGGGAAGTTCAGATCTGATTGGCTAGAAAGGAAAGATCTTTGAAGCTGGAACTAGGCTCTGATGATCACCTTTATCAGTTATTTCTCTTCCCTGTTTTCTATTAAAGGTAGAAGCTGGGGTGAGGGATTATTTGAGTTGCTTTGAAAGTTTCAGTTGAATAAGCTGAATGTTAGATTTAAAGTAATTTTTTTTCAGTCCTGGGAATAACCTTTGTGATATCTACTCCAGTCTCATAATTTGAAATATGAAACAATGGAGGCCCAGAAACCTGAAGTGTCTTGCATGAGGACACACAGAGAGTAAAGTGAAGGAAGAGGCCAGAATGGCTACTTTACCACTGTATGCATATTACCTAGAATGCCTTGCATATACCAGGATCTCAATAAATATTTGCTGAATGAATGAAGCTCAGGCTTCTGATTCCTTGTAGCATTCTTTCCACCACACCAAAGAAACTATGGCAGATATAACAAAAAAGAGTGTCTTTGAGCAGACAGGATCTGCTTGTACAATGTTAAAGGGTAAAGATAATCAGGATAAAGATAGGTTTCTCTAGCAACATGACCTCACCTTACATCGTGTATTAGTTTGCTTGAGCTATCATAACAAAGTGCCACAAACTGAGTGGCTTAACCAACAGAAATTTATTTTCTCACAGCTCTGGAAGCTAGAAGTCTAAAACCAGGGTGTTGGTAGAGTTGGTTTCTTCTGAGCGTCACGAAGAAGGATCTGTTCCAGGCCTCTATCCTTGATTTATAGATGGCCATATTCTTTCTTTATTTTCACATTATCTTCCGTTGGTCCATGTATGTGTGCAAATTTCCACTTCTCATATTGGATTAGGGCCCACCTAATGAATTCATTTTAATTTAATTACCTAATTAAATATTATATCTCCAAATACGGTTATATTCTCTAAAGTACTGAAGGTTAGGACTTCAACATATAAACCTTTAGAGGGAACACAATTCAGCCCCTAACACATGGCGACCAGCTTTTCCAACACAGAGTATATTAAACTCTCAACCTCTTTCTCCAGCAGCAGCCACAGTGATGTAAATAGAGCTCCCAGTTTATAGTTAAGCAGCCAATTGCACAACAATGTCAAGGTTCTGCCCACGCATGTATGTTATCCAGGTGGGGCAGGAGGATTGGACTGCCAGCATGTTCTCCTGCCAGCATGCTAAAAGAAGAGCCATAGGGCATGGGCTGGTTGACACTTTTTTTTTTTTTTAACTACATGTTATTACAACTGTGATGAAACAATGCTTTCTTCTTTGGAAGTTGGCTCTTTCCTCATCTTGTAAAGTGCTACAAGTCTGAAGGGCTTTGATTGTTTTTACTATAATTATTATTGTTGAGCTGTAGCTTGACTGATGAGTGTATATTTCAGGAGTATCCTGGGGCTGGCATTTATAAGGAGGCTCTGAAATGAGTGCCCATTGAGAGGATCCTGGGGAAAGGAAGTAAGGCTCTTCTAGGGTTTCTTGGAACATCAAGCATACACTTACTTTAGGAGAAAAATAGTTTTGTAGTTAGAAATCATTTGAAAAATATGAAGTTCCAAAGGGCAGGGGATTCTAGGTTCTGTCTTTGGTGGGTATCTGCTATTTAAGTTAAAAAGAGAGAGATGCTGGTGCTCCCTGTAGAAAATGCCACCTTACTGTATCAGAGTGATACTCAGCTTAGCTTTCTTGTCTTCACCATTGACAAAAATGTTGAGTGTCTATAATTTAGGACATCTTCTCATCCATGACCCTCACAATTAGAAATGATGCTATTCTGGATTCCGGCCTTTTTGGATTTATTCCTAATTACCAAGGTGTGAATACTAAATAAAGACTCCAGCAGGTAGCACAGGGGTATTTGGATCATTAGATGATATTTTGATGCTTTTGTCCTGATTACTGTTAAGCACCTTCTGACTAAGTCACTTCATAGATTGTGTTGCTTAAATTAATAGGTTGTCTACAATTCCTGTAATGCTGAGCTGAACTTTCAGGCCATTTTCTACTATTGGCTCATCAGCCATCGGAGACCAAGAAACTGCTATATTCTCAGAAGAAAATGTTAACAAACACTGGGAGTGCCATTATTTGTTATGACCAGTGAGTCACTGCAAGAAAGGGCACAGAAAGCTGTGGGGTCAAGAACAAAAGCACGTGGAAAGAGAATCCTAGTTTGGGGATGGAAATAATACAGAGCTCACCCTAACAGGGAGAAATGGCTGGGGAAAATAGAGTGATTTTTTTTTCCCTTTTTCATATTTAGACATAGATAAGAGTAACCAAATATCTTAAAATGACTGAGAACTTTCATCAGTTCCCAGACCATTAGATCCTGAGTTATGATTTGATGCACAGTTAAAACAGACAAAAATATTTGTTTGCCAAACATTTATTATTAATTTTTTATACAGTCAAATTATTTTAACAAGAATGTCTCCAAGGTAGTATCAATAGGCCTCAAAGGATTGTGGGCTGATGGGTCTTGTCAAAGGGCCTCTAGGAACTTGCTCCGCTGTTCACAGATTTTTCCCTTCCCTCCCCCAGAATGCTCTCTGTGATCTCTTATTGGCCCTAGAGCAAGATAGATGTTTACAGGATCCTGAGCAGGTTCCCTCTCAGCTCAAATTAACAAAGGCAATATTCTCAAACTCATCAAAGATTAGGGGGAGAGAACTGAGCACTACAGACTACAGCAGACACAGTTTTAAAATTTGAGCTCTGGAGTTGTTTGAGAAACATCTTGCTTTTGCTTCATGAGATTTTGTGTTTACGGAAATAAGTGTAAAAAAAATCTTGATTCAGCTTCTAAGTCTTCAAGCTAAACTTTATTCTTGACAGATATTTCTTCCAGTTATGGGCTGATTTCACAGGGAGTTTTTCTGTAGAAGTCACTCCCCTGGCACTGTTCAAGTGTTGTTGTAAAAATTCGGTCCTCTCCAGAATCTGTAATAATTATGCCACAAAAGATGAGAGGCTATTTAGAGGTAAATATTAAGGTCATTTAGGCCCAAGAAGAAATACCAACTTGAACATTAAAAAATCTCAACTCCCACAAGATGGATCAACCATTGAAAAAAAATGCCCAATTCGTTTGAATCTCAAATCGTCATATTATTCTTGTCGCTTTTGAAAGCAAAAAATCAACATGTTCCCCAAACAAAACTACTTAAACAAATTAAGTGATTTATATGTTTTTCAAAATGCACACCACATCTGCACCAAAGAGCAAAGACATCCTGCAGTAAAGAACTACTTGAGGAAGAATAAAAGACAGGAATAGAAAGTAGATGATGACATCAGTGAAGTTGAAGATTTTGGAAAAAAAAGACATTCTAACGGAGAGCTTTCCCACAACCAGAAATATCTGAGGCATTCGGTACTCAGCGTTTCTCACTTTCCTTTGCTAGCAGCTTTGGCAGGTGTCGGGGTATCGGCGGCATCTAAGGGCGGTACTGCGATCTCTGCTCCTGGATGTACTCGTAGAGGGGGCTGGAGCGCACCGGGACGCTGGCAAACTGACGCTTGCCGGGCTCCAGAACCTGCCGACGAGCCTTGTCTGCCTCCCAGACCTGGCCGCGGCTCTGCTGCGCTTCGCGCTCTTGGCGGCGCCTCTGCTCCTCCTCCTGCTGGCGGCGGAGCTGTTCTTCTTGCCGGAATTTCCTCTCCCGCTCCTGCCGGCGCCTCTGCTCTTCTTGCCGCAGTTCTTGTTCCTGACGACGCCACTTCTCCTCGCCGGCAAACTGCGGCTCCGCCCGGAACTGCTGCTCCCGGAACTGCTGCTCCCGCTCCTGCCGGCGTCTCAGCTCTTCCTGCTCCTCGCGCCGCAGCTGCTCTTCCTCGCGGAACTTCCTGTCCTGCTCCTGGCGCCGTCGCTTTTCTTCCTCTCGCTCCTGTGGGAGGCTCTGCTCTTCCTCAAGGAACTTCCTGTCCTTCTGCCACCGGCGTCTCTCTTCTTCCTCTTGCTCTGCGCGCCTCAGTTGTTCCTCCTGGGAGAAGGCTCCATCTAGTTCCTGGCGGCGCAGCTGCTGTTCCTCCTCGCGGAACTTTCTGTCGCGCGCCTGGCGAAGCTGTTGTTCGCGCGCCTGGCGACACAGCTGCTGTTCCTCCTCACGGAACTTTCTGTCGCGCTCTTGGCGGCGCAGCTGCTCTTCCTTTTCCTGCAGGAGCTCCTTCTCCTCACGGAACTTTCTGTCGCGCTCCTGGCGAAGCTGTTGTTCGGTCTCCTGGCGGCGCAACTGCTCTTCTTCCCTTTCCTGCAGGAGCTCTTTCTCCTCACGGAACTTTCTGTCGCGCTCCTGGCGAAGCTGTTGTTCGATCTCCTGGCGGCGCAGCTGCTCTTCTTCCCTTTCCTGCAGGAGCTGCTCTTCCTCACGGAACTTCCTGGCGCGCTCCTGGCGCAGCTGCTGTTCCTCCTCACGGAACTTTCTGTCGCGCTCTTGGCGGCGCAGCTGCTCTTCCTTTTCCTGCAGGAGCTCTTTCTCCTCGCGGAACTTTCTGTCGCGCTCCTGGCGACGTAGCTGCTCTTCTTCCCTTTCCTTTAGGAGCTGCTCCTCCTCGCGGAACTTCCTGGCGCGCTCCTGGCGCAGCTGTTGTTCTTCCCTTTCCTGCAGGAGCTCTTTCTCCTCACGGAACTTTCTGTCGCGCTCCTGGCGACGTAGCTGTTCTTCTTCCCTTTCCTGCAGGAGCTGCTCTTCCCCACGAAACTTTCTGTCGCGCTTCTGGCGCAGCTGTTGTTCTTCCCTTTCCTGCAGGAGCTGCTCCTCCTCGCAGAACTTTCTGTCGCGCTCCTGGCGGCGCAGCTGCTCTTCTTCCCTTTCCTGCAGGAGCTCTTTCTCCTCACGGAACTTTCTGTCACGCTCCTGGCGCAGATGCTGCTCTTCTTCCCTTTCCTGCAGGAGCTGCTCTTCCTCACGGAACTTTCTGTCGCGCTCCTGGCGCAGCTGTTGTTCTTCCCTTTCCTGCAGGAGCTCCTTCTCTTCGCGGAACTTTCTGTCGCGCTCCTGGCGGCGCAGCTGCTCTTCTTCCCTTTCCTGCAGGAGCTGCTCTTCCTCACGGAACTTCCTGGCGCGCTCCTGGCGCAGCTGCTGTTCCTCCTCACGGAACTTTCTGTCGCGCTCCTGGCGCAGCTGTTGTTCTTCCCTTTCCTGCAGGAGCTGCTCCTCCTCGCAGAACTTTCTGTCGCGCTCCTGGCGGCGCAGCTGCTCTTCTTCCCTTTCCTGCAGGAGCTCTTTCTCCTCACGGAACTTTCTGTCGCGCTCCTGGCGACGTAGCTGCTCTTCTTCCCTTTCCTTTAGGAGCTGCTCCTCCTCGCGGAACTTCCTGGCGCGCTCCTGGCGCAGCTGCTGCTGCTGCTCCTCACGGAACTTTCTGTCGCGCTCCTGGCGCAGCTGTTGTTCTTCCCTTTCCTGCAGGAGCTCCTTCTCTTCGCGGAACTTTCTGTCGCGCTCCTGGCGGCGCAGCTGCTCTTCTTCCCTTTCCTGCAGGAGCTGCTCTTCCTCACGGAACTTCCTGGCGCGCTCCTGGCGCAGCTGCTGTTCCTCCTCACGGAACTTTCTGTCGCGCTCCTGGCGCAGCTGTTGTTCTTCCCTTTCCTTTAGGAGCTCCTTCTCTTCGCGGAACTTTCTGTCGCGCTCCTGGCGGCGCAGCTGCTGTTCTTCCCTTTCCTTTAGGAGCTGCTGCTCTTCCTCACGGAACTTTCTGTCGCGCTCCTGGCGAAGCTGTTGCTCGCGTTCCCTGCGGCGCCGCTGCTGTTCCTCCTCGCGGAACTTTCTGTCTTCCTCCTGACGGCGTCTCTTCTCTTCTCTTTCCTCTCTCAGCAGCTGCTCTTCCTCTCGGAACTTCCTGTCGCGCCTTCTGGCTTCCTTTTGCTCTTCTCGCTCCAGGAGTTCTTTGGCTGGGAATTGTCTGTCGCGCTGCTGCCAGCACCTCCTCTCTTGCTCTCTTGCTCTCTCCTCTTCCTGTTCATCCTGCAGGAATCGTCTCTCCCGCACCTGGGCATCTTCCAGTTGCCGGATCTTTTCTTCATTCTCTCTGCGTTTGGAGTAAACTCTGTTATTGCGAACTTCATTTTCTTTTTCTGGTTGCCACTGCCATTTCAGATCTCGGCGCTGATCCTCATCACGGAATTGCCGCTTCCTGTCCAGGCGCTGCAGCTCCTCCTCCTCCTCCAGATACTGCCTGTCGCGCTGTTGGCGCCTCTTCTCCCTCTGCAGCTGCTCCTCCTCTTCCAGATATTGTCTCTCCCGCTCCTGGCGCCTCTTCTCCCTCTGCAGCTGCTCCTCCTCTTCCAGATATTGTCTCTCCCGCTCCTGGCGCCTCTTCTCCCTCTGCAGCTGCTCCTTCTCGCGCTGCAGCTGCTCTTCCTCCCTCAGCTGCTCCCGTTGAACTGGCTTGGCGTACAACGTGTGCCGGCGTCTCTGGCTTTCCTCCTCTAGTTGCCACTTCCATTTTTGGTCGCGGCGCTGCTCCTCCTGGCGTCGCTTCCTCTCCTGCTCCTCATGGAGGCTCCGTTCCTCGCGGAACTGCTGTTCCTGCTCCCTCTCGCGTCTCTGGCGGCGCTGCTCCTGCTCCTCCTCCTCCTCCTCCTCACGGAGCAGTTGTTCCCGCTGCCGGCGCTCCTCTGCCCTTAGCTGCTCCTCCCGCTGCTCCCGCCACAGGGGCCTGGCCGACAGCTCCTGGCGGCGCCTCTGCTCCTCCTGCCTGCGGGGCCTGGAGTAGACTTTGCTTTGACGGGCGTCGGCCTCGCTTTCTAGTTGCCACTGCCACCTCGGGGTGCGGCTCTTGCCCTGCTCACGGGCCTCTTCCTGCTCCACCTCCTCCTCAGCCAGCTCCTGCTCGCGCCTCAGCTGCTGCTCGCGCCTCTCCTCCTGCTGGCGCCTCTCCTCCTGCTCCCGCCTCTCCTCCTGCTCGCGCCTCAGCTGCTGCTCGCGCCTCTCCTCCTGCTCGCGCCTCTCCTCCTGCTCGCGCCTCTCCTGCTCCAAGCGCGGCTCCTCTCTCTTCAGCTCTCGCTTTCGTAGCTGCTCCTCTTCCCGGCGCTCCCTCTGCTCCTGCCTCTCGCGTTTCAGCAGCTCCTCCTCCTCCTCCTGCAGCACCCTCTCGCGCTGCTCTCGCCGCTCCCGCCTTTCCTGTTGCTCCTCCTCGCGGTGCTCCCTCTTCAGCTCCTGCTGCTCCCGCCTTTGCAGCTGCTCTTCTTCCCGGCGTTCGCGCTGCTCCTCCTCGAGGCGCTGTCGCTCCCGCTGCTCCTGCCTCTCTCGCCTTTGCTCTTGATCAGGAAACTCTTCAGGCTCCCGACCCTTGCGCCTCTTCAGCTGCTCTTCCTCCTCAAGACGCTCTTCCTGTTCTCGCCTTTGCAGTCGCTGCTCACGTCTCTCTTGCTTCTCCCTCCGCTCTTTTTCCTCAGCGAGCTCCCTCTCCTGTTCCTGCCTCTTCTGCCTGCGTTCTTCTTCCAGTTTTCCCTCCCGGGGCTCGAATCTCCTTTGGTCTTCTTGCCTGCGATCTTGTAACGGGTACCCCTTCCCCTCACACTTGGTTCCCTTCTCATCTAGCCCCGACGCCTGGCCGAGAGCGTAATAACAAGCTTGAGCCACCTTGAAAATGAACAGGAGGAATTCGTTGAAATCGACAAGCCCGTTACAGTCGCGATCCAGAAGTTCCAGGATCAGATCTACTGTCTCAGGGTCATGTGGTCTCTATGAAAAAGAAAAAAAATTTTTTTTTTTACAGTGTACTACTTACAGATAGTAAACTTTCACTCATACAAAATGTCTATTTTATGATATGTTGACTCTCAAAAGACATTAAGAGCAATTAGAAAAACGCCCAGTGTGTGTCGAGTGTTGTTGACCCCGTGTAAAATGTGACCACTTCATTTTAAAGCATACATTCGTTGGAAATTTTTGTATCTTGTAATTTAATGCTGATCGAAAGAACACAAGTTCTTTTTAGCTGGTGAATGAGAATGAATTCATCCTCAAGAGAGAAATACAATAGAAATTTGTGAAGATTTGTAGCAGCCGTTTCTGTCTGAAATAGCCAGAACCTCTGATTTGATTTTTATCCCATACTTGAAAACAGAACAAAATATGTATGGTAACACCATTTTACCAAAGAGGAGGCTGATTTTAATTATTGAAATTTGGAAGTAAATTTAAGTTCCTTCCAAATCCAGTTTGATCTGATATCCTTAATGATAACTTCTCATGAACGGTTCATTCACATTGACGTTGCCATCAAGTACATGTAATATTTACTAGAATCTTCTTTAGTACTCAGACTACAATGCTAATTCAGTACTTTCAAAAACTCAGACATGAATGGGTGATGTAATGTAGAGCTGCCATGGCCTAAAATGAATATAGAGTCACCATTCCTTGCTTTGGTCTCTCCTGAGAAGAATTTCATAACTTTAAATCAATAGAGAATTCTTTTTCTTGTTATTTCTTACCCGAAGTACATCTCCAAATTCTCTTTCAAGAAGGTTCTTCAGGTCTTTCTTGCTTAGTGCTGCCCCATCACAATCATGTGTGGCATATTGATTGAAAATTTCAGTGATATCGAAGATGCTTCTCAGAAGTGCAGACATTTTTTTCCTTCCTTTAAGTCCAACTAAACCTAGAAAAATAAAATAGGATCCAGAATCAAAACTCTGTTTATTATCTTTGGGAGGCTTCATCCACACTGTTTCAGGCAGATCCCTAAATTGACTTTACAAAATTAGTTATTTTCAACTTGGGCTTTCAAAGCATTTTATCTTTGAATATTGTACTTAGAGAGGGGAAGAGAGATCCTGAGAAATTTCAAGCCAGGGAATTATCTTTAGACTATCTTATGGTCAGCTTTTGATTGCCCACCCAATCTGGATTATCTAAAGCCTCTCCTTCTCTCTCTTCCTGCTTCCTAGCATATTTCAGACCAGACAGTGAAGAATGTAAAAATTTAAATTTGATATGTTGCTACTCATAAGGAACTTCCTCTAAAGTTGAACAGAGAGGATATGTGAAAGCCAAAAGGTGAAGGAAGATTTGAGAGTATCTTAAAGTGGATAGAAGCCATGTACGCCTAATTGCGGCAGCAAAACATTTGGTGGTAACTAGAACAAAAAAAAGGGAATGTGGATTATTTCCTAACATTATAGTTCATAAGAGATCTAGGAGTATAATTCATAAGTCACCAGTTCTAAAATTAAGCACTACTTCTTCCTAGTCAAAGGTGGCATTGTAGTATTCACATATACCAGTGCAGAAAACAGAGAGTACATGTTATCTACCTCAACTCAGATAAGTTACAGATATTCAGTTATTGAAAGGTTCTGAGAAGTACTTCCTGACTGGCTACCACAGTCAATGGGTCAAACTGAAGCTGGAAAACTTTGAATAATATTAATCTTATGGTTAGCTTTTGTTAAACCCAATAAACCATTTGAATCTTGGCATTATAAAAAACAGGAGTTAGCCAGCAGAAGATCAGTGTTAAAAGAATACATGGGAGGTTTCACTGCATGAGTATAGTGGTTCACCTAGCTGGCTTCTTTAATTACTTCTCAACTCCAATACCTCAGATGTCATAACTACACGAAGATGGCCTATAATGGGTAGAACCAATATAAAAAGAGAACTGAGGGTTGGCAGACTTTTGAGATGGCAGTTTTTCGGAAGATGAACCAACCCCATCAGAGTCATCCATGACCATCCTCCATCTCCTGACATGCAAACAAACTTATTGAGTTCAGAGCCTTGAAAGAAGAGCCATGTCTCCATTGAAGTGATGGCTCCAACTACAAGAAGATGGCATGGAGTTAGTGGGATTTAGACATCCTTGTAAGATACTGATGCTTTCTGGCACATAGACCATCCTGTTTATCATGACCCCCCACCCACCAACATCTACAACAGCTGGAAAACGAAGAATGGTACAGAAGAACATGATCCCACTGAATGGGACTTACCCACTTCACCAGAGGAAGGAGTTGAGTGCTCGCTGACACTGCTGGCAAGTGTACTGGGCACCCAGGAGCTGGGCCTTTTATAGGGATTTTAATTGTGCCCTGAGGAGCAATTGGGAAGGAGACACCCACTCTGTGGGATGGCCTGATTCATTCCTAACAAGCCCAGCTCCACCTCTGTCTCCGCAAATGCTTGTTGATTTCACTATTTGCTCACGTAGCTATTTGGCACAAGGTTCACAGACTTTGCCTCCTGACAGTTAGGATATTGGCCCCACCTAACATGAAAGGATGGAATATTTGGCAGAATCTCTAATTTTCTTTAATTTTAAAATTAAATAAAACAATGAAATTAATGTTCAGAATTTTAATTAATTATGACTTCATTACAAAGTAGTAACATTTAAGCTATTTACTTTATAAAAGATATATTCTAGGTTGGAGTTAAGCAGAAACTTTGACATAAACTGATGAAAACCAATTAATTTCTCCTTGGGATGTGACAGTCCATGGGGAGCTGCTTATAGCCTTGCCTAAAGCAATTCTAGAACAATGAGAGGGTGTAAGGAATTGATTTTAGTTTCTTCTCTAAAAACGCAGGTGGAAAAAGAATTTACTTTTGTATTTTGGGTCTTGTGATGATTTTCCTACAGGTTGGGGATTGCCTCCTTAGTAAACTTTGGAGGGTACTTTAAAAATGTGTTTTCATTAAATTGTTCTTAAAAGAACTTGAAATTGTGAAATTTCATTCTTAGGGATATTACATCTAAATGAAGTTTGCTCGTTTCTTTTCTCATTAGCATATTGATGCCCCTGTAGAAAAAGAGCTAGTGTAATGCATTGTTGTAGATATAATCATCCTGCTCAGCCTAAGTTACTAATGATTATGACACCTAAACACTTGAGTCTGCTTCTCCTGGAAGCACATTAAGGTAATCGGTCATTCTAGCCCATTATTGTCTGTCAGGGCTTTCTCAACCCTGGTGATCATTTGCACATCTCAGCACTGTTTTATAGTAAGGAACTGGATTTTATCCCTAGTTGTCAGTGACTCCCACCCTCACATTTTAGACTATATGAAACTTTGGTTCACAATAGCTTTATGGAGACTATTAAATGATTCAGTGGCTTTCAGCATTTCTGTTTCCTCCTTTGTCCAACAGAGGCAAGTATTGGTTTTCTGCATTTTGAGGAGACTGTAGCATCTTTCAATGGAATGTGAAGATTTGGAACTGAAATCTCTCACTATTGCTTTATGTGCAGATTGGTACAAATGATAGTGGAGTTGTATTCTATTTGCCCCCTCATTTGCTGCCATCCTAGAAGTGGGATGAAGAGGAAAGTCGAAGTGATAGGTGTTAGGAAGACAATTGTAAGCCTGGCTCACTTCTGCATCCTTAAGGACTTCAGCACTGAAGTCTGTGATCTAGAGGTTTTCCTAGAATTGTAGCTATCGGGATCAGTTAGCAAACTTGATGTAGCAGCTCCTTAGAGAAGAGTGAAAATTTCTCTTTTTTCCTTCTATTTGGGGTTTTATACAGTCCTCTTAATCTTTGAATTCTAGGATAGGACCATCACGAGCACTGTATACACTGCAACCACAATTCTCCACAGAACCTCTATCTCTTACAGAGAGCAGTAGCCTTTTTTATGGGTGTCCTTCAAGAAATTCTCCAGACAAAACCTGCCTAATGTCTGATTCTGTCTGTTTGTTTGTTTTGTTTTTTTGGTGGAGAAGATTGGCCCTAAGCTAACATCTGTTGCCAATCTTCCTCTGTTTTGTATGTGAGACACCACCACAGCATGGCCTGATGAGCTGTGTGTACGTCCACGATGGGGATCCAAACCTGCGAACCCCAGGCTGCCGAAGCAAAGCATGTAAACCCAACCACTATGCTACTGGACCGGCCTCTGTCTGATTCTGTTTTTATCTACCTGTGTGTGATCTATTGGCGAACTTCTGCCCAGGTGGGATGCATTTGTGTGATTCCATTACCTTTCTATAGTTGATACACTCAAAAGGGGACTGGACATTTATTAGGTTCTATGAGAATAAAGGGAAAATATTAATCATTTTAAAATCATGATTGAGCAAGGAAAACAAACATAAAGCAAATTCAAAAGGAAGATGCTCTGAAAAGCCTTGAGAAAATGGCTGAAATTACATTCATAATAACAGAAAAACTCCTTGCCTGCTCTGAATGAAGCTAGATCTTAAATCCAGTGATGGTTTTCTTACCCACTCTTGTTTAAAGTCAGTACAAAATAAGGGAAAATATTTAAAAACCTGAACAAACCTGAGAGAATTAGCCTCTCTTCCTTCATGCTCTTGATCTATCATCAGAAAGATTGTAAGTGGATTCAAATGTTAAATTCTAAAAGCAGATTGACAGTCTCCTAATGAAGTGGCCCTCATTGCTATATAATGTTCTTTTATTTAACACAGTGTCATTATTTAAAAATACCATTTTGAAAGGAGCTCCTGATATAAAGTTTGGACAGGGAAATAATTTTCGTTGCTTTCTCATTCCTTAAAGGTTGGTAAATGCCAGAGAATGTAGAAAATTATCAAGTCCTAACATATTGGTTCAGTCTATTTTTTTTTTTTAAGACCAACTGGGAATCCTTGAAATGTGGCAGTGTCCACTCATTGTGTTCATCAAAAAAGAATGGTGTTTTTATAATCTGAGGATCTCCATATTCTTTATAGACAAAAATAGTCTCCTTAGCCTTCTTTTATAAGATTGGAGACTGAGCCACTGAGAGGTCAGAGAACATTACTGACTGGCCCAGGAATGACTCAAGTGACCCTGCTCCATTCTGCAAGAATGTCCTTCTTTATCAAGGGTTAACGTCAGTGGGTCCAAAGCATAGCTACAGTGTTGTGCTGTTACTTTGCTTTGAGACGTGGGCTCTTTATTACAGAGGAATTGAAAAGAGAAAATAAAATTTATATCATTCAAATGCTTTAATATTATGTCAATCATGAAAACTCATCCATGCGGAAATCTTTGGGAGTGGAGCCCTGCTGGATTAACAGAGAACTAAGGAAGTATTAGATTTTCTTGGTCTTTATCTCATTTCCCACTTTTCCCCTCCATTTTCTCCTGAAAGAACCCAGAAAGAGAAGATAACAGATTTGACATTTTGTGGCGTTCTACCAGGACCAGGCCTTGTCTTGGCCTTATTGGAAAACTGCCAAAGTGAAAATTCAGATAAAGCAGAGAAGTTTCCAGTGTCATCTTCAGCCTCCAGAACTCAATATGAGCCATGATGTGGAATTCTGGGAAAGTGTGCAAGTAGGATGATTTTTAGATGGCTTTAAAAAGAGTAAGTTTCTTTGGTAAGCTCTCTAAACACCTGTTGATGTAGACCTTTTCTTTAAAATTATGTGTTAAACCTTTCAAGTTTTCCTATTGTTTCTCCTTATTCATTGACCCACCCCCTGGGACCCAACCTCTGCCATTCCAAGACCTAATATATTTTCTTTGAGACACTGAACAAGTTCCGTCTCCTCTTCAAAACACTGTTGACCTTTACGTATAGTGATCTTCCAATTAAAAAAAATTTCCACAGCATGCATAGTCAGCATCATACAGCCTAACACAAGTTGATGTGTAATTTCCATATTCTTTTCTAAATTTAATGGGTACTTGTTTGTCTTCTCGATTAGTTTTTAAGTTCCTTGAAGGCAATGCTGTATCTTTTATTTCTACTAGGTATTTAGTAAAATCCTTGCTGATATGATATAATTTTATTGCATTCTGGCAGTTTAAATGACCAGCAGGTCAGAATGAGATGAGTTGTTTGATCTGGGATGGAGTTCTGTGGGTTTGGGTGATGACTTGGGGATGAGGGCACAGACCATAATGGGAGTCAATCCTTCTGGGGCCTCTTTCTAGTTTCGCCACTTACAGGACAGATGACAGAGGAAGCATTACTCCACCCCTCTCTGCCCTACCTCATGCCCATCACTTCACCCCTCTGTTAAGTGAGGAGCTGTAAGATACGAATCTCTTCCTCAGAAGGGAGCTGTGATAATTACAGCTTGTAAGGCATTTTGTGATTCTTAGATATAAAAGGGCTAATTATTATGATCATTAATAATACTTAATTTTTATCTTCTTCAAGGTAAATTATCCTTACTTTAATTATACCCCCACCCTGGTAGTAATTATACCTCTGAAAAGTCAGCAGATGCTTTCATCTTACATCATGCGGTGCAGGGTGACTGGGCACAGGTGCCCAGAAGAGCACTTCCACCTTTTGCCCACTCCCACTTCCCCCAGAGTAGCAGAGGGCTCCTGGCTTTCTTTATCATTAAACTGGTCATAGATTTCAAGTGATTTGTTGTCTCTGTTCTGTAACTGTATCTTTATCCTAACCAGCAGCGATTCAGTTTCACAAAACTTTGGAATTTGTCAAAAGACACACTGAATGGGAAAAATGAATTTAATTTCTGTGTTTGATGAATACTCTGAATGAAGAAAGCAGGCATTCTGATTGGGCTGTAGAGATTTTATGGTTTCTATTACAAAATGGTTCACAGCTGCCATACGAAAAAAGGGCCATACTTTCTCAAGGGTAGAGGTGCTGTGTGACATTCTCTATTCTTCTTGGACTTAGATCTGTTGCTAGTAGAATGGAAAGTCACTCTATGGGATGAGATAAGAGGATTTGTATCTAAAAAACTAAAAACAAAATTTTGAGAGAGGTTTTGCTTCTGACAGTAAGGCATAACATAAAGGAGATTGGGAGCTGAGGCTTCACACTCAGTGGATGTTTTGGGCTGTAGGAGTGAAAACCATGGCCTCCCAAATGTGGAAAAGAGCACTGCCAGCACAGGCAGGCGCAGGCCAGTCTGGCTTGGCATGGTTTCTCCAGGCCCAGATGTTCAATAGTCCCCTTGGGTTATGATAGAGTTATTGAGTCCTGATCTTGGGTGTTTCAGCACCCTAAATCCCACCCTATGCCTGAAGTAAGGATGGAAGTGGAACAAATCGGGGGAGTCAATGTTCAGAATTTTTAGTGGCTTTCCTTCTAACCCTTCCCCTTCAGAGGGCGCAT